AGCCCGGTGGGGCGAGGTCAAGGGGAAAGAGGCCGGAGGGTAGGGGCCTCAGGACCCCACGGCCAGGCTTGCCACTGGTGGAGGGTTTGTCCTCGGGGCCAGTCAGGATGGGGCCCCGTTTCCGGATCCCCAGTCCCCCACACCAGCCCTCACTCCTGCCAGAGCTGCTTCCTAAGCTGCCGTCCCCTGCCTCCACAGTGACATCAGAGCCGCCCTGCGTTCCCGAGCTCCTGAGCCCGTGTGGCAGGCTGGAACAGTGCGGGAGCAAGTGACGCCCCCCGGCTGCCACACCAGGAGCCCATCGAGTCCAGCACAGACGTGGCCCAGACCCTCAGCGCAGGCCCGGGCTGGGCCGGCTTGGCCAGTGCCGCCCCCTAGAGGGGGTCCCAGAGAGCCTGTCAGTGCAGAGTAGGCCCCAGCAGAACCGGGCTCACGTAAATGGTGCAGCAGACCAGGCCCTACCACCCCTACCCAACCCCCCACCCCTGTCCCCCGCCACATTGTGGGCTGCGGGGGCAGCCGGGGGTCCTGACCCCTGCTTCTTCCCTGGGGTACCCTGCCTCCTCACCCACAACTGTCCTGGGGGACCCTACTGTGGAAGAGAGGGGGAGAGAAATCAGTTCCCAGCTCCCAGCTGTTAGGGCCAGAGAATCTCCGGGACTCACCTCTGCGGCCTGCCGGGGGGCCGTTCTCCTCCTCTACGGTGTGGCCGCCTCCCCCTGGCCAAGTTCATCTCCCACCCCCAAGAGCGACGGGCCCCTCTGGATGGCTGGTAAAACCCACCGGATCCTTCTCAGAAGCACATTTGTAAATGCGTACAAGGTAACACGCCCAATTTCAAAGGAGACAACTGTGCGGAAATATTAAAAATACTTGTCAAGACATTTCAAAAAAAACAAATGATGGCCGGGCGCGGTGGCTCACGCCTGTAACCCCAGCACTCTGGGAGGCCGAGGCAGGAGGATCACTTGAGGTCAGGAGTTCAAGACCAGGCTGAGCTAAAGCGAGACCCATCTCTACAAAAAACAGAAAAATTAGCCAGGTGTGGTAGCCCACCTGGAGTCCCAGCTACTTAGGAGGCTGAGGCAGGAGGATGGCTTGAGCTCAGGAGTTTGAGGTTGCTGTGAGCTATGAGGACATCATAGCACTCTAGCCAGGGTGACAGCCAGACTCTGTCTCAAAAAACAAACAAAAAAGAAAAACAACCCACGAACGATGTAGTGAGCTGGCTTTCCCACTAAGGCATTAACTAAGCAGGAAGGGGGAGTGGGGGCTTCCCTGGTGATGTCCCAGGCACTGTCCACACCCCACACCGGGGAGGTGTTGGGACCACAGAGATGCAGCACTTCCCACCCCGGCTCACAGCTCCTGAGTTGGAGAAAGCCAACGGCACAGAACGCCCGCCAGACCGGCCTGGACGCTCTGACCTGTTCTCCGACGTCAGCGGCGGCCTGTCCCCAACCACTGGTGACCATTCCCTGGCGGCGCGCCCCAAGCTCAGGCCCCGACCCAGAGGCGGAGCAACGCATCTGAGGAGAGCGTGGCACTGGCGCGGGTCCCAGCGGCCCCAGGCGCTGGCCCGGTGGGACTGGGGAGCCCCCGCCCCGCACCGACACCAGGCCCCGGAGAGGGCTCAGGGGACACAGACAAGAAAGGGTGGCTGTCCTCCCGCAACCCTCGGCACGCACACGTGCGTGAACAGGAGGCACAAACGTACACACCGACTGCCGTGCACCCCGCGCCCGAACGCGCACTGCGCCCTGCACGCCCCAAACGCTTCCCGGCCTTGCTCTCGCTGCGCAGACGTCGTCCGTTTCGCAGACGTGGCGGCTCCTCCCCCCACGTGGTGGCAGCTCCTGCCTCGGGACTGGGGAGGGCGGCGAGGGGCCGGGTGGCTGCAGACTGATCCCTGGAGAGGATGCGCGGAGCCCCCTACAGTCTCCACGGGGGCGACCTGCCCAAGCCGGACCGGGGTGGGGTGGAAAGTGAGCCTGTAACAGACGGGGTCCCCACCCCGACCCGAGCCCCTCGGAGGACAAAAACCCGCTGGAAAATACGGGCTTTCAGATCGGGTCCGACGACCCCCAACCCCCTGCTCGCCTTTCTGAGCGGAGCTGGAGGGCGGGGAGCCGAGACGTGGGGCAGCAGTGTAGACGGGTGGGACCCCACTTACCGGTGGGGGCGGGGCGTGGGGGCGGAGAGGCCGAGCGAGCACCGGACCCGATTCCGGGGGCTCCTGGCGCGAGGTCAGGACGGGCGGGGTGCAGCCGAGGGCCACGGCCGCCGCTCCCCACGGCTGGACCGGACCCGGAGGGAAGCGGGCGCCTCCGCCTCTGCCCCCTTCCGAGCGCTGAGGTCCCGCCGGAGCCGGAGTCCGAATCCACCCGAATCCACCGGAGGAGACGGGCCGGGACGGAGGGAGCGAGAGCGCGGCGGAGGAGGGCAGCGGCGGGGCGCGGACCGCAGGGGTCTGCCCGCGGTGGGTCATGGTTTACTCCTGAGGGGCGGCAGCAGCGCGGGGAGCGTGCGGGCCCACCTCACAGTGACGGCCCCGTTTGCTCCTTCGCGGGGGCGAAGGCCACCCTCCTGGCTGAGCGCTTCACAAACTCACGGGGCGCGACAGCGTGCACGACCCGGGGGCAGCGGGGCGCGGAGGCTGGGGGGCGGCAAAGACGGTGGGGGCTCCTGCAGCACAGGTCGCCGAGCCCCTGCCCTCCGCGGGGCAGGAACGGGTCACACGCACAGAAGCGACAGGAAGGCCGCGGCGCTGTTAGTGTCCGCCCGCATCTGTGACCATTCCCGGCCCTGCGGCCTCCGCCACTGCGGGACGGTGCGGCCTCCCCCCACCCCACGCCACCCCCGCCCCCGGACGGCGCGGCCTCCCCTACGGCGCACACCGCGGGGCCGCTGCGGCTTCGCCACGCGGGTGGCGCCCAGAGAGGCGGGTCGGTCCGCGCGCCCGGCCCCCAGCGCAGGGGACCGCAGGCTCCTGCTGCGGGCGGGACCGAGCGGTGGGATTACACTCGCGTCCCGCAGCGTTTACGGGGCGTTAGTTGCGCCCCGCGTGCGCAGCCAAGGGATGGCGTCCTGGGCTCAGGTCGTCAGGTGACCTCGCCAGGGACCTGCGCTCCCGGGAGGCAAGCTCCATCAGGCGCCGGCCTTCAAGTCCAAGGGCAAAGGTCGGTGGAAGAAAACCTGGAGTAGCAGCAGAGGGGGATGGGTGGGCTGGAAGCCTCTCTCCCACCCCCATCTCGAGGGAGCTTCCAGAGCAGGAAACTTTTAAAACACAAATCCGTCCCTGAGATCCCCTCCGTTCTTTCTCTAGCTCCTGGGGTCACCCCACCAGTCACCAGGCCCAGAGGACTGGCCACAGCCCCTGCCGCACTCAGCCCGCCAGGGCTCCCGTCACCTGCTGAACCTGGCGCTGCAGTGCCCCCTCCCGAATGTTTGCTCCTCCCGCCGGGGGGAGGGCACAGCCTGCACTTGGCTCCAGGCAGAGCTGCAAGCTCTGGTGGGCAGGTCCTCTGTCCTGGGGCCGCTGCACCTCCCCAGTGGAGTCCCCACACCCCCTCTCTGCCCAGCACCCCAGAGCCCACCCCGGCCGGCCCCTGGGGTCTAGTGGTCCCAGATGGCTCCCAAGAACCCCTCCGCCTTGGTGTCCTGTCCACGGGCTGACGCTGGGCGCTCTGACCGAGGGGTGCCCGCAAGCCAGGCCGGGGTGATGGATGACAGGGACTTTCCATCGGCCGGCCCAGACTCACCAGCACGGCCCCCGCCCGCTCCCCATGAGCCCTGCCTGGAAGGAGGCCACTGTGCCGGGCACCCAGGCTCGCACCGCAGGCAGCGTGCAGCCCAGGGTCAGGAACTCCTTACGGGAATCTGCGGGTCTCAGCAGTGGCCCTGCAACCTTCCTGTCAGGCCAAGGCTGCCCGCCTGGGTCAAGGCCGGGGTCGGTGCCGGGGTCAGCCGCTGGCTGTGAGCGCCCAGCTGCCCCACAGCTTAAGGTGATGCCACAGCTCGTAAAAAGGCATCTCGCCCTGGAATCCTGGCTGCCACAATCAGCCAGGGGGAGCCCACCCCATGCAGGCCCGAGACCCCACCGCTGTGCCCCCAGCCCCTGCTTCTACCTTCCAGTCCCAAGGAAGCCTCCTTCATGCCGACAGCCTGCCGGGACCATCACTCTCGAAGATGACAGCTGACCCGCCTACGGACGTACACCTACCCCGCCCTTCAGCACAGGGTCCAGCAGAGTCGGGACCAGACACTGGTCAAACATTCAGCCTCAGTTTCCCCATTGGCAAACTGGCCACACGGCCTACCCGTGAGAGGGGCCAGGAGTTAGCAGCCCACGCTCATCAGTATGCTGGTCACTTGGTGGGCCCCGTCCAATACCCCTGCACCTGTGTCATCCT